GCTGACAGCCCCGCTCCTGCCGCTCGCTTGTGGCAGACCACACTTCCACGCTCACCGGCAGGCACCGACTGGCCATCTGGAGGACCGGGAGGGTGTGTGTATGTGTGGCCCGAGCGAGCGAGAGAGAGACCTTACGTGCATTGTTGTTGTTAGCATCTGGTGCTAGCTAGCTGCGCTAACGGATATAAGGAGCTTTTTAAATGAAAACAGAGGAGCGACATTTCGCCACAACTGCGCCGAGCACTTGACTTTATGCAGGAAGCCAGACAGTGGGACATTGTACGAAAAGTCAGCACACTCAGCACGGATAGTGCGCAACATGATTGCAGCGTCCAGGCAGCTCCGGTTCGAGCATATGCCTTGAGTTGCACATAGCTCCAATGCCCATACCACCGACGACATGTTTGTTTACTGTCCTGGCTTCACGGCCGCACACCATTTACGTCACAGCCAGGCATGAGTTAGGGAGCGCTGGATTTGTGAAGAACTCCCCTCTTCCCAAACCACTAATACCACAGTACTGGCAAAACGGGAGGAGCCGAGTGAAAAACAAGCGCCCCTCATCCCAATCCACCCACACCGCAGTATTTTTTTCTTTTTTTTTACCCAAAAAATATATTTTATATTATCGGGGCTATTAATACTGGTATCGGGTTTATCGGGATGACGTCATAATTCCTAATATCGGGCCGATAATTATCGTGCATCCCTACTATCTATCTTCTATCGATTAGATTTATGATTCGAAAATTATAAAAGTAGGGTAGACATGTGGATATTATCCGACTGAACAAAACGTGCATTTATCTAACAGGTTCGTTTTCCACTGACCTTATTTCCAGCTATTTTCCTAAATCCTATGGAGAAATCCCATTGCTTTTTTATCGAGGGAAACCGAGCGCAAAAAAGATTGTTGAAAGTTTCCCACCATGTGCTGAAAAGGCTGAATACTTTTGATATTTGAATGGTTTCTGTAGCTGAAAGTATGCTGAAGTTATTGAGAGCCAAACTATTTGGTCAAATGATAAGAAACAGAGGAATAAAGAACTGTGGATGTTTAGAGCCAGGAAACACTATTCCTCTTAGGAGGATGACTTTTCACCCGACATCGCCTCTTCTGGCCCCGCTCCATCCTTCTTTCCTTCTGTTCACCCCGCTCGTCCTCCATCCTGTCATTCTTCCTTAGCCATGCACTCTCCTTTCTCTGCCATCTCTCCTTCAAGGCTCTCATCCCTCTGTTATGCTGTCATGCTTACTTACAAACAAATAGACATCAACACGCTGATCTACTGATGCCTCTGGATAATAAACTCCCTACAGAGCAGCCTAATGCTCAGCTACATCAGCACCAACATTCACAGCAGCAGCGCTCATCATCACGATGGCTGACTGAAAATATGCATTAAACACAGCAGATGGACTTAAAGTAACATGCTGTCATTACCATTCCCCCATTTTTCAGTCAAAGCATGTATCTGCTACCATGGTTCATGGTCATGTGTTCAGATGCAGATATGTGGATTTCAAAAGTGTGTAGTACGGTTTAAAATGGCTCCGTATTAGTCTTATTGAGACAGAGGGCGACAATTCAGGAACTATGACAGACTGACTCTGTTCCACACCACTAAATCGTGTGTGTGTGTGTGTGTGTGTGTGTGTGTGTGTGTGTGTGTGTGTGTGTGTGTGTGTGTGTGTGTGTGTGTGTGTGTGTGTGTGTGTGTGTGTGTGTGTGTGTGTGTGTGTGTGTGTGTGTGTGTGTGTGTGTGTGCGTGCGTGCGTGCGTGTAACAGTGATATAGTGTTTCACTGTAACATCATGTGTTGATGCTGTGAGGATCCACAGTACTGCCTCCCTGTTTTCCCTGTTTGTCTGTCTCTCTGTGGGTGTGTGTGACTGTCTCCCCGGCTGGGCGTGACTGACCTACTTTTGGATTCCCACCTCTCCAGCTGTTGCTCATTTCACAGATTGCCACTACTCACCTGCACCTGTCTAAAAGCCCGGTCATCACCTCCAGTCTTCGCCAGTTCGTCAGATATCCACTTGTGATCAACCACCAACTCGACAGCCTGCCACGTCCAGCCATCACCCTCATCGCCCAACTCGTGTTTTCAACTCAGCTCCACACCTCTTGGCTCGCTTTCCCTGCTCCCCGAGTTCCCCCTGAATTCTCCTTGGATTCCCCCTGGGTTTCCTGGTCCACCTGCTCCCTTCTTCACCGCCCCAACTCCACCATCTGAGAAATAAAAGGTCCCTGTTTCTGCAGTTTCTGTCTCCTGTCTCAGTGTTTGCATTGTGGGTTCAGTCTAGCAGCTCTCTGTGAGCATAACAGATGCTTTCTTTAGCCTCGTGAAACTATTTTTTTAACATGTAACTCATTGGGAGGAACCTTCAAATCCTCTTTTACCTACACCTTGCGCCAAATGCTACTCCTTCCACATACTTTCAGCTAGAGACTTTATTCCAACTTTAAAACACTCACAAGAACGTATTCTTCAGATTTTTGATATCTTTTACACTTTTTGAGATATTTAACTTAGTTTTGAGCTTGGTATAGAGGCCTTCTTCAGATGTTAACATTGTTGTGTATTGCGCAGCTCGTTAACGCTTAGAGTTTATTTTCATTCAATCGTTTATTTGGCAGGGACAATGCACAGTAATGAACACTTAAAACATTCAAATGTGTCAAGCGTAACAGTGCCAGATTTAGCTTTGAGCTAATTTCCATCCGCACTCCCTCACATAACACATTTAAGAAAATTACATTCAGGGCTCAATGCTAACTTTTAAAAGTGTTTGCCAGGCTGGAAACCAGGCATCCGCTTTTGGTTGCCAAAACTGAAAATACGGTTGCCATTTTTAGTCGCCTTATATTTTAAATAATTAAGATACCATACATACATACATCAACTTAATAATGAAAATGTGACACAAAAGAATGTTCAAATGCTTTACAATAAGTAATTAACACAATTATTTGAAACTTAAGTGGTAGTAAACTTGTCCACCCTCAATTGCTGGTATACTAAATACCAGTAGTGCAGCTGTTGTCATGTTCTTCACAGATCCCTCACAAATGAATTGAGCAAGTCACGAGTTTCTTGGTCATCCGTTGTCTCCCTTTCAAATGTGGGTTTTCTTGACCTTTGTGCTGACCCCCACCATAGATCCACTGGCCCTTCAGCATTGAAGTCTTGATTGTGGTTCTGTCATTGGCCAGACTAATACGTTTCTAATGTTAAATAAATGAAAACCATTCACAGTTAAGAGTTAGATATTAATTATTAATGCTTTAAATTACCTTTAATATGTCTAACTATATTTTAAATGTTTTACCTTTTTATAGAAGTGATTATATTTGTATGCGAATATTTTCCTATGGTAAAGTTTCGTTTAGCACTTTTATTTTGGTAGTAATAAGATCGGAACTCTTATTTTTGAAGGAACTTTTACCGGAAGTGAATGCACAACGGAGCAGAATGTAGGCCTACATATATATTTCGCCTCCCAAGACTTTACACATTTGCTCTTTGCTTTTCGTTCGGATTCACTTTGCGCTTTATCCGTTGAATCACTTTGAACATTCGTTTGAGAAGTTGAGATGTTGGCCAAACTTTTTACCGCACAGTCAAACAACTTAATTTGCTTCGCCATTTTTGTAAAACAAACACACGGGGCACCGCGCACGCAAGTAAACGTGCATCGCTTTCTGGCTCCGTAATCACACCAATGCACGTGCAACTTAAGTATCAGGTTCCGACTGGTCAAAACAATAATTAAATATATTAAAATTAAAAATATCCAGATTTGCTGCATCATGACGATATTACAAATCTACAAAGCTACGGACCCAGAATCAGCACTTTTCTAACAGGGCTGAAATAGAGGTGTATGAGGCATGGCTAGAACGGGTGATCTGTTTGGTATTTTTAGCAAAACACTTGTTTTTATATATTTGTATATATCTGAGACCTATAATATATGCAGGCCCGCCCCTCCCTACACGCAGATCACACAGACTGCGTAGGGCCTCACCTCGTGGAGGGGGCCTCACCTCGCGGAGGGGGCCTCATCTTGCGGAGGGAGCCTCACCTCGCGGAGGGGGCCTCATCTTGCGGAGGGAGCCTCACCTCGCGGAGGGAGTCTCATCTGAAGCGCAAATGCAGCGCAATTAAGCGTGCCACAGTTTCACCGCTACGAGGCTCCGGCGTCGCAGTTCATCCGCGTGCCCCTTTTTACTGAAATGAAACACAAGTCTAACGCCGAGCGTCTGAATTAGCACTAAGCGAAAAAGTGCTAACGCACTTAGCACATAACTCACAGTATAAATGTGTTATACTTCATCGGATCTGCACAAACTAGATATCATATGAAAGCTGAGATTCCACAGATTCCAATGGTATACGTATCATTACCGTGCGACCAAAACTCATGGCATCGAAAGCCAGCAAAGACAACACACAACTTCACTTTACGGGGCCAAAACGGCAAATACGTCTTACCTTTGCTGTTTTCTGATCAAAAGTCGTGTTCAATGGCATTAAAACGCATATAAACGCTGATGAAGGTTAATCCAATGTCTCTGTGTCCCTTTGAAATTATTACTGATAATCCATCATCATATTTATGGCAATAAGCCTAGTTTTTAGTTTTCAGAGCGTAACTATAATTTACATTTTGTTACTATGTTCAATCTCAATTTACTTTAGAAGAAAAACATCTATATTGATTCTGACTTTTCTACATCCAACTCACAGGTGTATCATTGCTTTGAGAAAAAAGATGATTAATTTACCCCTTTTAGACGTGAAGATATAGTCATTTGTTCCGGGCATGTCATTTTCGAGCCTGAAACCTGAACCTAGCTTGGGTTTTAACAGGTTAGGTTTTTCATTGCCATATCTACACTGCAGCTACAGTGCACATGATAAATGATAAAGCCTTGAATTGAAATGGAAATGCAGTGCTAAAAGGCTAATACATATTTTTATTTTTATTTCAAGATCAGAACACCTTATATCTGGCCCTTTCCACCATCATCATGGATACAGAGGCTAGTCACATGCTGGAGGCAGCCCTGGAGCAGATGGATGACATAATTGCAGGTATGAGCTACAAGGTAGCTGAGTTGTCTTTGTGTATAGAGTGGTGCAGGGATGACGTATTTTTGTAGGCCGACCCGGAAATAAACTACGCATGGGTTCCCTCGACAAAAAAGCAATGGGATTTCTCCATAGGATTTTGGAAAATAGCTCGAAATAAGTTCTGTGGAAAACAAACCTTAGATAAATGCATGTTTTGTTCAGCCGGATAATATCCACATGTCTACCGTATTTTTATCATTTTTTAATCATAAATCGAACAGCCAGAAGCAAAATGCTAACGTTATGCTATAAACGAACTACAGCCGAGTACAGCAGGGTTTCACAACTTCAACGTCATGCCAACTTAAGATCGATATTCAAAATACAGATTCAAAATTGTACAAGTTGAAGCGTTTGTTTTAACAGTTTGAAATAGCGCAGGTACTTGCTTTCAAGCAGAACAGGGGCAAACAAACTTAGCGGGAGTGTTAACGTGTTCGGCATAAGGACGTGCAACGTCCTCGACAACTTCTGAAGTCCTATTCAGTCACATGTTAACAACCATCGTTTTTCAGACACATAAACTCTTAAAAAATCACCAGTGATGAAACACTGCTGATGTATTTAATGTCGTAGAACAAAACGTGATCCGTCTCTTGAATTTGTGTCAACAACAGACCTTATTTCCAGCTATTTTCCAAAATCCTATGGAGAAATCCTATTGACTCTGAGACGAGGGAACCGGAAGTGGTAACATGCTGACTCACTTCCGGGTTTTAGGACTCATCACTGCACCACTCTATTGACTCCCATGGTAGTTTCTGGAAAATCTGCTGCATTTTTTTGATTTTGTCAATCATGTATCATCTGTATTGTCTTTAGTTGATGAGTGGAAGACACAGGATATCACTCAGGTCCAACAATCAACACCATTCTTTACAATCATATTGACCTATCCCGGCAACCCATATCTGTGCTTTGATTGTCATTCAAACTAAGTCAAAGCCTGCAGTGTCACCAGAGAGGCTTCTAGGCTCCAACATTGTGCTCCAATTAGTAGGGTGGGGCTAAAACTACCACTACAATGTTATTCCATACTAGAGATTTAAAAAAGTATACCATCACATAAAAAAAAAAATAGTAATACGCACCATGCTGACTTAGAGTTGTGATACTCCTGTTGTGTGCTTCTTCCTCCTATCAGCTCACAGTGGTTGTTCTCATTTGATGAAATGTATTTATTTTATAGAATATTTTTGTAATGATTTGAGCAGTTTACAGTAAAGCTGTAACGGTCCCCCAAATGAGAGTTGACTTGTGAAATGCATTAAATATGCCAAGTTTCTATAATGAATTAGAATTTAAGAACACGCACACCCATGCGATTTATTGATGGTGTTTATGGGAATCAAAAAGCTGGACCATTTCAACAAAGGAGAAATTATGCAAAACCTTTCGTGATGAATGTCAAATAAGTTGCAAATTCAGAACAATATTGGCATCCTTAAAGGTGAGGTAGGTAAGTTTGAGAAACCGGCTCGAGATACACTTTTTGTTATATTCCATGGAATGCTCTTAACATCCCAATAGCAATGAATATCTTAAGTGCTTTGACAAAAAATCTCTGGAAGCCGTGGCGCTGTAAAAAGCACGACCAATTATTTTAGCAGGCCCGGCTAAAATAACTGGATGGCCTACCTGCCTGTCAGCCTTCCATCTGTGCACAAACTTATCTCGTGCCCTCATTGGTCATGTGCGTGTTCGTGTGTGTTGGAGGAGGGGCTCTGTAAGGAAGTGGCAGATTTTTTCCGGTTGTGTATTTTCAAATTCTAGCGCACTCCAGCTGGTTTCTCAAACGTACCTACCCCACCTTTAAATTAGAAGGTTATTGGTTTATTACTGGTAGATTATCTGAGCTATTACCAGAGCTAATGCATTTAACTACATTTTTTTTTTTACCTTTTCATCACCTTCTATATCTTACATTTCATTATTTTACATTGTGGGACAGAAGGTCCATAATAGTAGGAATAATAATAATTATATAATTTTAGTCTATATGTTTTTGAGCAGGATAGTTACTGATGTTGCTGAGGACACTCTGATCAAGGGTCCATGTGCAGTCATATCAATCCCCAGATTTATTTGATTTGTCGAGAGCACAACACGTTGGATTCATAATATTGTAGGTTGAACAGGAAAATAAAGAGTTTTCAAAGCTCCATACAGGGTGTGCAATGGCTGGTAATACACCTAGCAGATCAGTTTTGTTTTGCAAGAATATTTCAGTTTTATGCTAAGCAATAGTCTGTTCTCAACTCTCTGCTTCACACACTCTCCAGGTTCCAAAGCAGCAGCGGTGGAGTTTTCTAACAGGATGTATGAGCAGGGTTCCCCCGTCAGTGGCGCTCCCCTTCAGTTAGCTGAGGAGCTCAAACTTGCCTTGGAGCTCCAACAAAACCAGGAGGAGAGAGACAGCCTGAGAGCACAGCTGCCTGCAGGAACAGCACAACTTCTCATAGACTGGTTGCAGACTGGAACTGTGAGTACTTCACAGTGAAATACTTCAATTCAGCTTCCACATGTATAGTCTTATGTAAGATAATGTTTGCTTTGGTGTACAGCCACACCAACAAAATAATTAAAAGATCCAGTTCTTATGCCTTTATTTGTGTTTGAGCTTTGAAGGCAGTCACAAAGGGTTGGTCAGATGTTGAACATGAAGAAATGGCTGAAGATGAGCAGCAGTCTTGACTTCTGCTCGGTTAATTATTCAGGCTGTCCAAGCTTGAAGAATTCTTTTTTTTCTTCTTTTGCAGCATTTAGTTTTGTCCTTTCCACTAGTTGTGTGCATGTGTGTGTATATATATAATTATTGGACAAATAAGAATTTCACCTGATGATGGCGCTGCATACAAATTCTGAGGATCACCACATTGGAAATCAATCCAAGGGATGGGAACAAAGCTACACTAAAGGAAAGTTCATACATCTACTGCCATCAGAGTTCAGCAGATTCAGGTTCAAAGGGTTTTTGAACATTATTTTAGATATATTCTGGTAGTCTTCAAAAACATTTAAATTAACCTGAACATTTGTATAGTGTGAGATCTTTAAGAGCTTTGCATTGGGCTAAGAGCTTTGTATTTGTATAGGATTTTAAATTGTAATTCAACACTCACCATGTTTTCATTGCATGAAAATGTTATTGTTGCAAACTGCAGCCTCATCATTACTATGACAGTTTGCCATTTTCAATTTCAGTGATTTCAAAGCTAGGGAAGGGAACATGGGGAGGTTTGGGAGGTTTTCCTCTGAGACACTACAACTCGACTATGATCCACTTCCTGCCTCCCTCACACCCTCTGTCTGTCTCTCCCCCTCTCTCTGAGGAACACTCACCTCTCATTGTTACTCTGTATGTTTGGACACACTCCCTGGACTTGTAGTCACAAGTGAATGAGCTAGTGTAGTAATAATGTGGTCAAATCTCGGAGGATTACATTGCTCACAACTTCCAGGTAAGGTCAAACTGCTAAAAGTTACTGCAAATAAAACAGAAAATGTATTGAATTGTCAGTGTTTCATGACAAATTCACTGACATGCAGCTTTTATTCAGTTGAATGAGTTTGTTTTCTGCAGTTTTCTGCTCAGAAAGAGTTGTACACAGGTAGAGACGTCTCACATGTTGTACGCAGTCACTGGCCAACCATTCTAAGTGAAATGTTGTTTCTTACTTTGATCTATCCCTCCCCTTTTGTTTAACAGTTTTTATTGAGATTTCAAAATCAGAAGAAATATACATTCAATAGCATTGAATCCCACCCATCCTGCTGCTGCTGCTGCTGCCACAAACTTTTGCTCTAGTCATCCTGGTTTAGGGGGATCTGTAAACTATTGTAATCATTTAGGAAGGGGTTCCAAATCTTTGTAAACTTCTGCACAGAGCCTTTTATAGTTCAGTTGAATCGAACCCTGGTGCGTTTAGCCGCTTGGTGCGGTTCATTTGGGTCGGTGTGAACACAGTCCGAGACAGGGGCGGCGCCAGGTGGTAGCTTGCAGTTGCTACAGCAACACCAACAATTGGCCTAGCAACTGCTAAGCAACCCCAAGAAATATATGTTTTTTTTTTATATATGTGAAATTCATAATTTGAAAAATGATTGATTCGAAAATGATACAGTATGCTACAGTACAGTACAAGTAGCCTACTTCTGGGTGTTTCATTCAAGCTTGGCTCCGTGTGTGGCAAGAGCGCACGAGTGAGAGAGAGAGAGAGAGAGAGATTGTTGTTGCTGCGCTAACCGATATTAGAAGCTGTTTCTATAACTAAGTGAAAGAAAAGTCCTCTCCTGTCAGATAGCGTCAGCTCAGTGAGGTAAAGGACTCTCTCAATGTTTAGATAGTTAATTTTAGTCTAAGACTTTAGTCTTAGACTCTAAGGGTGTGTTCACACCTAATAGTCCGCTCTCTGGTGCGCACCAGACCACAGTTTGTTACATTGTTTCATTTTTCAGAAGGTTCGGTTTGCGTTCACACTGGCAAAAACTCAAAGGGACTATAAACTTTAAACACAAGTCATGTGCACGGAAATGCTGTTCAACCATTGGTCAGACATGAAGCGGGTAAAAACCACATGTAAACACGGAAAATCGCGGCAATTTCCACCGGAGCCGCCAACATGGAGCATCCGCAGATTGTTTTCATGCTGCTGTTCATATGGAGAGCATATCAACAGAATGTAGCGGGCGACGCATATCAATACATACTGAGACAACGTGCGTTAAAAAACGTTATAACCGTTAGTTAATTAATTCGTTAGTTGAGGAGTTGGGCATATGGCTGATGTAGGCCTAGGTAATGTTCATAGGATTTCATAATTACACTTCACACACTTTTCTAGTAATTATTTCATAAGCAGCTTTATAGGTTGCTTGCTTATTAATATGTGTTTTTTTTATAGTGGTTGCAGTGGTTTTATAGCTCATCCCCCAAGTCAAAAGGACAGATAACAAGGCATGTACACCGGCAGCATAAATAAGTTTACAGTGAACGTACCATTGTTATCAGAGTCCTCGGCATCCGCGGAGTAACTGCGGCTAGTATCCGCCTTAGCAGCCCCGGCATCGGCAGTGGAGCTCAGGCTCCCCTCATCAGGCGACTTATCCACCTCTTCCTCCGCATAGGACTCGACCACATCTACGGGGCTCACTATGGGTCTTGTGTTCAAGATACTGTTGAGATCCTCATACCAAATAAATGTCTCTTTGATACTTGGGGAGCTGCCGCTCTTCTGCAGCGCGTCGCGCACTTTTATGTATTGTTGTCGTAGTTTCTTCACCTTTATACGACACTGTTCAACACTCCGGTTAAATCCTAGTTGCTTCAGTCTGTCGCTAAAGATTTTGAACACCTCCCCGTTTTTATGAACCTTCTCCAGCAGTTGAGAAATGTTCTCCTCTGCCCAGATATCCAGAAGGCATCTCTGTTCCTCATAGCTCCACGTTTGTCCCCTGCCGCTCATTTTCCCACCATTTGCAATCCTCTCCTCCACAACAAGAAATGACGCGCAAATACTACGCTATGTTTTGGTGCGGATTGCGTTCACACCAGCAATGAACCTCTCCAGAGTTCGCAAGAAAGCTTTCCGAGACCACCTATTTTAGCGGACCAGAGTCCGGTTGTTTAGTTCACTTAAGAGGTCTCGGACTGCGTTCACACCGACCCAAATGAACTGCACCAAGCGGCCAAACGCACCAGGGTTCGATTCAACCGGACTATACAAGGCAGGTGTGAACGCACCCTAAGTTATCTCAGTGGGTCTCAAAACAGTTTGATCACCATTTATGTAAACAAGTATTTCCGAGGCACACCTTTATATGATCATTATAGTTAGGCTATAAAACAATAAGAGCATAAATGAAAAACAGGTATGAAATACTATATGACAGTAAAATAAGAATACAGTTTAAAAGGGGAGTGATTAGTAAAATATCCATAAAGAAATCTGTTTACAGTTCTGTGTCATATGGGTGTTGAGAGATGTATCCATAGATCTCTTAATTTTGCTCTCAATAGCCGCTTTCGCACCAAGTACTTTGCCGTATATGTGCCCCCGCACTTAACACCCCAGGGCACTAAGTGCCAATCGCGTTCACACCGGAGTACTTTTCCCTGAGGGAAGATTACGCAAATGAGCCGCTGACGTCACTTCGTCTTCTTCTGCTTTGGGTTTACTGGCAGGCCGCAAACAACTTCGCCGCGTATACCGCCACCCGAAGTCCCCGGAGTAGGGGACTGGCTTCAGTAGAAGCCCTCCTCATCACTCCACTGCTCCCATGTTTTTTTTTGTGTTGCCATAAGTTATTCTCTCTCCGTTGGTGCGTGGGGCTAATGCTAATAATGCTAATGCCAGCAAATACAATGGCGGCTTCAAAAAACTTTTCAGAGTTTTACGGGGCGTGGTTTGCAATTCGCCCAGCCCTTCGAAATTGGTACTTTTTTGGTACTTTTTTGGTACCACCTCTCTCAGGGACGTTCACAGACATTTGGAGGGGCTATTGCTCTAAACTGGAAAAAGGGCATCCGCCCGATACAAAACACAAGACCTTTTGAAAATTGTAACTTGTTTTTAATGTAAAAGAAACCAAACTATTATTACATCAACTAAATTGAACAGTAATTCACATCTCATAACAAAATAAGCTAAGGCGACTACTTGCATTTGGTAACGTGATTTTAAAAATGAAAACCAGGGACATTTTTTGTTTTGCGGTCCATATCTCATCAAAAATATAGTAACTGTTAAAGACAAAATGGGGACAATTCTGTTCTAATGTATTTTGACCATTGTAACTGCTTTGCAGTCCAGACATACTGATACAATAGGGCCTCTAACTAATTACCTTAAATAAACTCACTAATTAATGAAACCAGTTCAATACGCATTATTCTTATTCTTATCATTCGTTATGAGCGCAGACAGTAACGGTAAGGTATCTAATTACTTATTTATTTAGTATTCCATAACTTAGTAACAGAGATGGTCAAACTAAAGTGGAAGAGACATGGCAGAAATCCTACAATGAAGCGGGACATTGACTGTTCACCCGTGAGAGGGCGATCAAGAAAAGAGAGCGAGCGGCCCCGTTGAGGGAGTTTACAGATGAAAAGACACAGAAAGACAGAAGCACAATAACAACAAGTAGGCTATATTTAGGTGTTTTTTTGTAAATAACCGACGGTATCAAGAGGAAGTCCCTGTCCCTTATACCCTAACTGCGCCATTAGACAACTCAAAAGCAAGTTTCCAAAATCCGACACTGAGGTGGTCTTACCGCACCGGCAGATGACAGCGCTGACAAAGTGTGTTTCCCGCAGCGAGACGCTACAATACTAATTGTGGGCTCATCATGTTGATTCGGCCACAACAGAAAAAAGAAAAAGAAACTCTCGCTCTCTCCAGAGGGGTAGGTCAGCCAAAAAGGGCAAATTGGCCGTTGACCGGGCAACATTAGCCCGTACCTGTGCACGTCCCTGAC